GCAGGCGAGCGGAATGAGACAGCGGACATCATCAGCCGCAAAAAATCAGCCTGGCAAGGAATGGAAGATGCCTGCAGAAATAGCGCGGGCGACATATGTGCAAATCAAATGGGATGACATCCTGCAGATATGGGACGAATTCTTGGCAGGGCCCAAGAGCCTTGGATAGCTATGATAGCTATTGTCGCCGGACTGGCACCAGCCGGACTGCGTTTTGGGGTGGTCGGGGGCGGCAGGCTGCGTTTTGGAGAAGTGGACTGCCGTCCCCCTCTTGCGGTGTGGTGTGTGTTTGCTTCTGCACTTGAGCAGTACAGTCCCAGCGAAAAAGATTTAGTGCGCAGGGCTTGAGTAGGTTGTGTTTGCGCTAGATTGAAAGATTTAAAGGTAGCTACCGGTTTCTTTGCTGTATGCACTTCTTTCGAGTGTTCGTTAGTGAATAGTCGGTTATTGAAATGAAATATTGAATCACGTAGCCCATCAACTGACGAAGAAATTAGTGATTCAGTGATAGTTCGTTGGTTTGCTAGCTAGCTAGCTGGCTAGCTAACAAACATAACTGGTTCTTCGTTTGTTTGCATGATGTATTAAATTTTTCTTCCATTCACTTATCATTATGTGTTCGTTTGTCTACTTATGTTCATCTCATTGTTTACTTGTGTAGTATTGTCCGTTCATATGTGTGCATTGTTTGTGTTCTGTTGGTGTTAGATTGCGGGCATATGTGCATTTCATGCATGTGTGTATGTATTCAGCTATGTTTTCTGAGTTTGACGCTAAAGAGCTAAGTAAATTAAGAAACAATAAACAAACGAACAGTTATAACCCATACATATATAATCATATATATATATGTTTGATTGGTTTTGCTTGTACTTGTTTGTTGGTACATGTGTGCGCATCTACTTGCACTCAGTCATTAATCCAGGCCCGACCGCGCTCCGCCGGGCTGGCGCCCAAGCGGCCGCCGAAGCCAAAGCCGTGCGCTGCCCAGGGCAAAACGAAGAGCGGATCGTTTCGGATGCATTAGGTTTTAGCGGGATTTCACGGGGGTTTCCCGACGGGCTTTCGTGCGGCTTCGTCAGCTTTGAGTGGAATTTGATCGCTGTTCGAAGAGGTGGCTTCTTGATTTAGTCCGTTTACAGCAACAGTGCCTCGATATGGAAGTGCACTAGAAATATGCTTGCACTAAGACTAGTTCCTTGTGGCGTTAAGGGGAAATTACCTAAGAAGCGTGCAGCACTGCCGAAACTGGACGTCGAACCCGCGAGCCCCCGAGCCCCGTGAGTAGCCAGCCAGGTTTGCAGCATCAACCCTATAGCGCAACACCCCAGACCCCAAACCCTAATGCAATTCCTATTAGATCTGCAGGCACCGCTCACTAGCACCGCAGGCATCCACGGGCGGTTGCATTCGAAGTTGTATTGGGGGTTTGGGACAACTCGGAGTACACCTTCTGTAGGGGTCTTCATGTTTATGAAACTCCGGTATGGGAACCAGAATCAGTACTTTGGGCATGGAGTACTTTCCCGGTACTAATCCAAGGATAAGGTGTGTTCTCTCATGGTTTGCTTTTCAGAAGATATCGGGAATCGTTTACAGCCGCACCCAAACACGGAGAATGTTCCTTTTCGAGGCTTCCGAGGGCTTCGGTTGAAGTTGTTGGCATGATCATGGGCATAACAGCAACTGCCTGTGTCCAGCACCGCTGGTAACCCTTGAACTCTATCTCCGTTGCACGCGGCAGGCGGTGGCGGTACCACAGAGCGCAGAGGAGCTTCAATATCAACACTTTAAACGAAGTTGAGCCTGAACCTGAAACTTATCGCTACCAGAGACTGCTTGGTTTATGTTGCTTCGTACGCGCACGGCACATTCCGGCAGGACAAAGTCCACCATCCAAAGCTCCCACCACTTCCCTACAAGCCCACAACTCAAAGACTCCATGGCCCAAAGCAGGGGCCCCAAGAGCCCTAAACCTTGAGGCAGCCAACTACAAACGTACTGAAACATTCTACAGACCTCATCAAGCCACTAAGCCATTAAGCCCTCAACGATTAACCCCCGGAAACCCCTAACGTCCCAATCCGGCACCCCTGCGCATTTAGGGCCGTTAAACTTTTGAGAACTTTCAAATTGCCCCGAATCGGCAGAGGATCTGCCAAAGGTTCGGCGATGGAAGTCTGCGTTCATGCCGCGGGGGGCTTAGAGGACAGGGGGTTGGGTGCCGCGCATCTATCAGGTTGTTTAGGGTTCTACTGTGTTCTTTAAGCCTATTATAGGGTATATCAGAAAGGTGTCTTAGTTGAGTCTATCCGGGTCCTTCAAGGGTTCATCCGGGGTTTGGGGTTCAAGGCCTCATGGGGTTTGAGGCCTTAGCTTTTTCTTGGATTTGTTGGGCCTCTGGTGAGAAATTGACGGCCTCTGCGAAGCCTGGGGAGCTTCATATCTCAGGATTACTAAGTAGGGATTGGAAACTGGGATGTGGGGGTCATATCCTTATATTCTTTCAAGTGTTTTACATCATACATACGTGTATATGTATGTACAGGTATAGACATAGATGTAGATATAGCTACACACACACATAGAGAGAGAGAGGGGTAATGTCATGTCCGCCCTGAATTTCCTCGCCGTCCTGCAAAACCTCAACCAGTTCACCATTTCACCGTTCATTGGCTCCATGTGGTCAGGACCCCTCACCAATTCACCATTTCACCACTTAATTTAGCCTTATTTCTGAACCCATAAAATTTCACCAATTAGCTAGGCCCTAACCCACAAACCAGTTCACCATCGGGCGTACGCTTCCGAAGCAACCAACAAACAGCCGGCAGCAACTATCAGCAGACATGTGAAGGCTTCCCGCCAGACAGAACCCCTTCCTCGGCTCGAAACCTGGGGTCTGGGCGGGTGTAGGGATTTCGGCAAAAAACATCGTCCGAATCCCTCTGCAGCCGCCAAATCCTGATGAAACCCTCCCACAAATCGAGCCCGAAGCTCCTTATTTGTGTTTGCCACCACGAAGGGGCGTTGTGGAGATTTATCAGATCTGGACGCCGGTATCAGCGAAGCCTCGTTGGATTTGCTTTCCTGTACTGGTAGTACATTCGTCGCCGTCGTAGGCAAAAAGAAGTATCGAGTCTCAATGCTCGTATTCGTCCGAAGGCCTGGGAAGCTCAGAAGATAGCGGACGCTTTGACCACAGAGGGAACCTCTGACGTTCACGAGACTCCTATGTTACGAGGCTGTGGTTGGATGTGGCTCCCGAGAAGAGCCCAGAGCCGCAGCGCCGCGGCTGCACTCCGGGGGAGTTCTCAGAAGGAGCCTCAAGGTCGAAGGGTCCAGGACAGGTCCATATAGCAATTCGTTCATAGGGGGCGGTGCAGATCTAGGTAAGGTTCATAGTTCACATATGTTCACATCGGGGGCACTACACTTGTGTTCGCAGTGTTATGTTGCTAGCCATCGGCCAGCCCAGTGGCCAGAGAAGCGACGCTCGATTGCTTCAAGCGTGACCTGTGGGCTGCAAGCAGCCAGCAGTCACAAACTACTGGGTGGAGACTTAGCTGAAAGTCTGCGATGCGTGGCAGATTCCCGCCTTGCCAATGCTTGGGAGCAATCAGAAAGTTGCAGCACTTGGAAAGAAGGAGTACATCGCTACGCACATCAGCACTTTGCTTGTGTTCGCAGAGAGCATGTGCGATATGCCACCAGGGGTGTTTCTTAAGATGCGGGGTGCTTCTCGTTCCTTGGCTTAGGATAGGAGGTGCATCCTCGAGGACACAAGGATGATGCATGTTATCTGCCGGTTTGATCGATCCCGATCCTCTACCGAGTATTTAGCGACGGGGTATTGGTAGTACTCGATAAAAATATTGTTGGAACATCCTTGGGGACGCTTCTCGTTTCGAGTATGTAGTGCTGCCCCGCCGCATTCCTGCAGCTAGACGTAAGGAAGTTTCCCCGTCAGCGCTCGGCTGCTAGTTCTTAATGGGAAAATCAAAATTGCGGCGACCCGGAGCAAGCATGTCCACGTTGAACATGTGATTGTAAGCGCGTTCCTGCAAGAATGTGCCCTGTTTACCAAGCTGTAGCATTTGAGAACCCAGAACACAACCGGTATCCAGAAAGTAGATCCAAAGTTTGTTGCATATCTACATATGCATGACAGGTTCCGGAAACGAGAACGTATCTATGTCGATAGCAAGACAGCCCGTCTAACCAACAGCCTTTGGATCATGCGATGTGGATGGAACTGATATAGTATGGCTCAAAAACACGTCGAAAAGACGAAGAAGAACACGAGGCCTTAAGAAAGAATGTGTATATGAGACAGACGTTACGGCTTCGGGTTTAGGGCTTAGTGTTTAGTGTGCGAAGGGTTTAGCTTCGGAAAAGTTTGCTTTGGGGCAACTGCTTGAAGTTCAGGCCCTGAACCCAAACCCCGGACGCTTCAAGACCCAAAACGGAAGATCTGCAGTACCACATAACCCAAAAGCCATGTAATGACCAACACTTTCATCGAAAAGACATTCAGAACTTCTACCGTGCTGCGCTTTTGGGGCACGTTAGGTTTCAGCAAGGCCGAAGGTGTCAGGGTCTGGGGTTCAGGGTTCAGCATGTTTGGCCGAGCGATACCAACTCAAGTGGTAGACTGCTAGGCCCTTATAGGTCTTCAAGCGCTCACGAAGCAAGGTGTGAGCTCGCCAGAACGGCGCCAGCTGCTATGCCCTGCACTCGGAACAAGAGTCGGGACACAGTCGGGCTTCAAGGTATTCGCGGCTTGAACCCTGAGAGTTCCGCTATCGGAATTGAGGCGAGCTGGATACTTTAGGGGTTGTGCTGCGGGCCTGTGTGGCTGCGATTCCGGTTTGATGAGCATACTACAGCATAATATAACACTTTCGGATGTCAACGCAGCTGGGGGTTTGCAGCTGTAAAGAATAGAAATCCAAGACCACGAGTTGAGCCATGGAACTTGATGCACGCATGGATGGCAGGTCTGCCGACTGCGAGGCCGCTGACGAGGCCCTTTTTCCTTGTGTGGAAGAGTGTCCATCGCAAGTGGTCCGAGTTGACTCTATGAGAAAGTTGAGGGACAATGGAGAATTTTGGGCCCAAGCCCCAGGCGGAGACGGGCGGCCCGGCAGAAACGGAAGGCGGGTTTTGGGGGTCGATGTTTAAACCCTTCAGCTTTCTTTCGTGGGGCATGGAGGGCTATTGTATGGGAATTTCGGTGGTTTCATTGTCACCTCCGAAGGAAGACAGGGATGGATGTACGAGGAGTCAACCATCCAAGAGAGGGTAGAGCTTCGGAACTGGAGATTGACGATGAGGATACCCTAGTAACCCCAAACCCCAAGACCATGACCCCTAAACCCCCAAAGCACCTCTAATACCAAAACACAGAAGTCTGGATCTTCCGCCGGGCGCCGAGATCGCAGTGTCGCAGGCCCTTCGCTGTGGACTCCCGAAGAACCGGCTGAGGCGAGCTTGGGCATTGTGGGCAGGTTTGAAGAAGCTAGAGTAAGGGTTAATGGGGCTTGACAGTAATTCGTGGGTTTTTCCTGCATCATGGCTTCCCTGCAGGAGCCCCCGGTCACCACTGCGCCGGCCGGGGACTCCGCCGCCAGGGTCGCCCCCGCGCCACCACTGAGGCTGGAAGATGGGAGGTTGGTGTGGTGGAACAGATTTCTCTGAGGTTTAGTGGTGTAAGGGTGTTTTGGGTGGAGGGGTTTGGGATTTACGGTGTCGGGGGCCGTGTAGGGTGTGCCTGTGCTTGGGCTGAGTGGAGTGGTAACTGCAGGAGAGAAGCCCCTCTTCCACCTGCTGCGGATGTTTGGCGGCAACGAAAGGCTGTTCCAGGGACACGGGGCGAGAAAGGATACGCTTCCCATGGACCCTACTCCATCTTGCTCGCTTGCTCTTGCCCCCCCCAAGCAGCAGGCTCGGGCCTTGAGCATTCATGAAGCATTTGAATTACGGAGGTGTGCAGGAAGATCCTAGAGTTTCCACCGTAGTATGGCTTCGGAAGTCTTGTGGGATAGAGTTTGCAGGGTGTAGTGTAGAGTTCAGCCCCAAGCACTTCAGACACAGCCTCACTCTGGGGCCCCCAACAGACTCTGGTCAAGGGCATGGCCTGCTGAGGAAAACAGCAGCACCTGGGAACATAGTAATTACCGATGAAATCGAGCACAAGCAGACTGTATCTTGGACGTTGTGTCGGGGAGGCATGAGGCTTTATTCAGCTTTAATCCCTGACGAGGAGTACAATGCTACCACAGGCAATATGCGTGTCTGTCTGAAGCATGCACTTGCACAACGGATCCAAGGACATGAGCAGCAACCTGGCGGCGTTTCATTCTTTCACTGTGTATTAATAACTTCGCGAGGGCATGGGGCTTGTGCCACACTGCTCAGAATATCGCCCATGTTAGCTATTGACACTGCATGATGAGATCTGTCACGCAGCATCTCCTCTGCCGGCGTCAGACATGCATGCCATGAAGTTCTTCAAATGCCTGTGGGGTCCGCCTCGAGGCCCCAGGGTAACGGCCTGTGCCGAGACGCGGCAGGGTGCCCGGCTATTGGAGGCACCCCGGCTAGCAAAGCAGTGTTGAGACTCCGACCGAACAGATAGGATTGGGAGATCTCATGTTGTGTTAGAATGTTGGGGCAACAGAACACCCTAATCAGGGCTTTGCTTGGGACGAACAGGGACGACAAAAATGCAAGATCTTTGTCGGGCGGTGAAAATAGACCGTGCTGCGTGCTTTCACTGCAATTTGAAATTGAACTAAGCACCCCGGAAAACTCACACGCACGCCAATGAACAGGTTGAGGTGTATGCATCCATGAGCATTTGTGTATGCGTCCATGTATGCATGTACCGATTCGCCCACCGAAGCAGAGATGTACAATAACTTCCCAGGTACCGTACAGACACACACACACACATGCACGTGGGCACCTGTACATTCGCAAGAACTTCAGTGCCCACGCACATGCCAAGCCCTGAATCCCTGCGCTGCAACCCCCCAAAACCTGAGCCCTAGCTCTGACCCTACACCGTCAGCTCTGCCAGGAGAACACCCGACGGATGCGGGAGAACTTGCAGAGGCTCCGCTTCGAGAACCGACGCTACCGAGGTGCCATCCACGGCGTTGAGGCGTTGAGTCGAGAGGTATTTTGGGGGGCTTCAGGGTTTCGGTGATATGTCAATTTCCGTGCTTTGATCGAAGCTTGAGGGTTGCAAAGATCAGAGCTTCAATCGCATGTTTCGTTTGGAAATGGTTGTGGGCTGGCTCTGTAACCGAAAATCGACTCTCAGAGAAGGTTTGTGCCTGTGCCAGGATTGACCATACTTTTGGATTTGTTTTCCAACACTCGAGCTGAACTGGTCATTGGAGCAAGCTGAGCATGTGGCCAGCTTCAAAAGCCCATGTTTCCTTGCTGACGCGTCCCCCAAAATTGAAACCTTCAGAGTCCGACCCACTGCAGTGGCTCCCAACTTTGGCGCCCTAAAACCTTTAACCGTTGTCACGGGCTTAGGCTTGATGGCTTGGGCACTGTACCTAAACCCTGACCTTAGATCTTAGACTTCAAACCCTGAAATCCTGACTGCTCGAAGTCGTGTGGTATTGGGGGCGGGTCAGATGGGACACAAAGCATAGCGGCTTAGCTGAAGAATTCCACGGAGATCCATGCTCTTTGACCCGAAGCCCGAAGCACTCTGTTTGCCAGTTCGTCCACACGACGGAGCGGAGCACAGCGAGGACCTTGCAGCGATGTGTCCAACACTGACGAACACCCGGCAAATGATCATCCGCCTGCGTGAGTCTGCTTGGGTTGCGAGTGAACGCTTTTCCTACCGCTTTCGGCAGGTTCTTTGCGAAGGGTCAGGGGCCCGGCCAAATTCCTGTGGCACGGCGTCGCTTCGTGTCTCAACCCCGTGTCTCAACATGATGTATGTGAGTATGGTGCATGGCAGAAATCTGCTGCGCTGGCCCCTTCGCTCGTTTGACATCCTCGACTAATGGCCCTCCATTTCTGGGCTCTTGCCAGGGAGAGCACCCCGCTCCAGCTGGAGTCCAGGAAGAAGTTCGAGGCAGTGGCCGAAATGTTTATGCAAGTATACAGACACAGCAGCACGATTCAGGCAGCTTAGAAGAACGAGTTTCTGCTGCACGTGCTGGCGTATCTGCATACATGCATGCGTGCGTGTACGTATTATGTCCTGTCTGCTCCCTGGATTTGTAAGGGCTATCTGGAATGTGGAATCTTCTGTATGTTGTATGTGTGTATGCATGCATGTATGTATGTATGTATGTATGTATGTATGTAGAATATATAGAATATGTATGTATGCATATACATATACGTACAATGCTTATGGGTCGTCCCGGACATCTTGAGTATCATCAATTCATCAATATAATACCAGTACGCCGCAGGGACCGAAAAGCTGAAGTCGCGTCGGGCTAGTGTTTAGGGTCCCTTGTCATGCCTGGAATTGGCCGAGACGTCTCATGAGGGGACAAATTATGTTCGACGTCAATATAGAAAAATTTTGAGAAGAAAGTGCCGACAGGGATCTATTTTTTTGAATTTGTCTGAAGCTGCGAGAAGCACGAAGCTACAAGTGGCAGATATGCTGCAACTGACTCATATTTGTGCGACCAAGCGCAGGTTACGGGCTCTAAGGCCCTGTTCGTCCACCTTGCCCGTGGAATTAAAACATGATTATGATTTTGCTTGAACCGAATGCCTAAAACAAGCTTGCGTGCATATGGAGATTTGCTACTGCTTCTGCTCCCACTAGTGGTTAGGGCTGTCGTGTGAGTGCGGACGACTCGTAGTCGTTGCACTTGCAGAGGCAGTAGCGGTACTCGTACTCGTTGACTAGTCGTCGTCGCGGTAGTCGCGTCGGCGTCGTCGTTGTTGCAGTCGTAGTCGTACTGGTAGTACTGGTCATAACTGCGTGTCCTTTCGCCGGTCTGTGTCGCGGCATCCAAATAGTGAGACGTGCAAACAGCGAGACTTTTGTTGCCTGTAATTGGCGAACAAGAGCATACCAAGGCAAGAATGTTTTTTTGCTACATACATCTGTGTAAAAATCAAGACATGCCAAGGGCGACGAAATTGTCTGCAAACTAAGTTTATATTTTTTGCAACACGAACCTCTACATATAGGTGTCAGCACCTAGACCATTCAACACGAAATCTACGTTCAAACACTAGATAAATATATAATTGGTTTTCAAGGCTGTAATAACTTTTCTACCAAAAATGCTGCACCCCTTTCTTCAAGATCCATGGCCTCTTATATCACATCTCTATCGTTTGCAAAATCAAAACGCCAAATTTGTAAACACAGAATTTCGATCTGATTTGTTCTATACAGAAAAATTGGCTGCTTTTTGAAATAGAACCCAGAATTGTGGCACAAATGATGTCGAGTTTCTGTCCAGCTTCGTGCCGAGGACCCCACGACCGCAACATCGAAGACCCAGCGACCGTAACACCGAGAACCCCGAGACCGTAACACCGAGGACCCCGCGACCGTAACACCGAGCACCCCGCCTGCTATTTAAAAAGATAGCATGATTTTGGCAATGTATTGAGACCAAGGCCTTGAAAAAGCGCGGATGTTGGTATGTCCTGTCTCAACATGAAAATCTCTGTGTTGATAAAAACATACAAATGCTTAAATTTACGTATACAAAATAATATGGATGTGTATGCACGTTTATCTGTGGTTGTATATACATACAAGCGCGACAACTGTAGCACATGGGTATGTTGTTTCTATGCCTGGGTGCTTATTTATAGTCATGCTCAGTTATCTACATGTACATGCGCGGGTAAGAAGGTGCCTACGTGTTCAAGTATGTGTTGTGTATAGTGTTTATAAGCTTCATCTTGTTTATGCACGATCCAACAAATGTGAGTCATGAAAAGAAACCTTCTCTCTCTCTGTCTGTCGCTCTTTTTGTCTATTTGCCACATAGAAAGTTCGTTGCGACGCTGAGCCTGCTCGTTGCTGCCTAAAAACGAAACTCTAGATTTATGTTTGCTACCTAAAGATGCCCTTGCATGAGTTTTTATCTGCAATCCTCGGTGTCCGGTGCTATCGTCTAGTTTCTGGTTGTGCAAAACATGCCGCTGGAAACACAAAAACCATCAGAGAGGTATAACCTATTTTATCACATGGTCTACAAAAAAGTAGCATATGTTGTTCCAGCAAATAGCCTATTTATCCTATTTCCAAAATAGTCTATTATCCCGCTTTTCCAGGATAGTCGTCATATTAGAAGAACTCATATACGTACTAGTGGCAGTAGTAGTGGTAGTAATAGCAGTACTAGTAGTAGCAGTACTAGGGCGTCGAGCCAGTCCACAAGTGTGCCGGAGGTGCATAGGGTCTGTCATAGGCCTGTGGGTCGGGGTCTACAGATCCTGTCGACAGGGTCGGTAGCAGGGGTCAACAGGGCCTGTCGTAGGTGCGTGGGTAGGGTCACACAGGCCCTGTCGACAGGCTGTGTGGCAGGAGTCAGCGGACCCTGTGCGGACAGGGCCTGTCCAGGGGGCGCATAGGCCCCATAATAAGGCTGTGGCCACGGGTGTACAGAGCCTGCCATAAAACCTGTGATAGCCTATGATTTGGGGGTTCTTTACCTAATCCTTGGTGCCCCTCCAACATTGTATGACCTAAATCCTTTGTCCAAACCTTCAGGTACTTAGATGTCCTTGATCCCGACATGTGCACAGGACATGCGCAGAAAGATTGCAGCCCTCGAGGCCCGAGCGATTGCTTCGCGATTTCTTGGGTAATCACTACACCGTAGCACAAGAGCCGCAACCTTGCAATCTTGATACTGTTAGTAACTGTTAGTACATGAAAAGGACGACCGGTTGACAAGACATGAAGCGAGTAGGGACATGTGTAGAAGTTGCCGGGTCCGAACAAGAAGCCGACACACCAGGTTTCGATTCTCGCGAGGTCGCAGAGTGAGTGGTTACTGCACATCCACATGATGGAGCGTGAAAAAAGAGGATGTCACCTAGGTTGCTTATGGTGGCGACAGTGCTGCAAGAGGGTTCGCACTGACGAGCGGACCGTCGACGCGCAAATGCAGGATGGCACGTGCATGCTTCTCAGCTGCTGTTCGACCTTTGGCGATTTGCGGTTGCACTCACCCTTTCGCAACGATATCGACTCGCGGAAGACAAGAGTCGCTCCTGGTGATTTCTCGCGCTTCGGCCGGCTATGGGGGTTCCTCCGCTTACCAGTGGCTCAGGCTGTTGCAATGCTACGGACACTGTCGGGGAGCTCGGGTTGGGGGTCCCTCCCACCTCCGTCCCACTTTCATATTTCCTGAGCCCATGTGCACTTCGAAGGTTCGCTTCGAAGCTCCGTGATTTTTGCACAGTCTGACGCACATCGCTCCCCCAAGCTATGCCAGCATAGCTTTCGAGGCACTAGGCACAGCTGTAACATGCACTGACTCCTGCCTTGATTCTGGCGAGCTCGTTTTGATCGGCAATCAACTCCCAGAGCCAAGGCACGGATTTCACTGCTGCTTTTTTGTTGAGTTGGAACAAGTTCACGGAGCAAAACAGCAGACAGCGCTGGCCGGGCACTTCAAGGATCCTCACTGCTGCCACGCTGCGAATTCTTTGTGTGAGGCCTGCAGGTCAGGTCGCTGACTTGACTCCCCTTGGCGATGGCCCGCGGGGATTTCTTGTGCAGGAACAGGTTAAAGTGATGGCAACTGTGCCGAGAATTGTGAAACCTAGATTCAGGTGGAAGCTGCTGAGACCAGATCTTGTGACCCCTTTCAGGGTATGGCCGGCACACCTGCACAACCGCACTGTGACAATCCTCCACCGAGAACACCGACCTTGCCACTCCGGGCAGAGAACGAGATCAGATTTCGTGCAGCTTGTGCAGCTAGCGGTTTAAGGTGGGCAAGGATCTCGTTGATCACCTTCGGTTAAAGATGGGACTCGGGGTTTAAAGCTTCCCTGACGCCTTCCTTGATCTGTCGCAGGAATCCACGGATGTTGAGCGCCAGCGGTTGAAGATGGAGCAGCAGGAGGCGGAGGTCTCCCCGCATGATCAAATTAACTTAGAATGCTCACGTGCGTTGACATCGCCAGTTGGGCTTCCTGGAACTTCATGGGCCATGGGCGAGGGAAGAGCAAAACAGATGCTCAGGGGGTAGGCCCGAGATTTGATGCTGCGAGACGCCAAACACGCAAAACAGGCCCAACCCAAACTCTGAAGTCATCTGACAGGCGCGCGCGCGAACCCTTCAAAGACAAGCGGTCCCCAAGAAGAGCGAGCGAATTCAGGGAGAGATCCTTCTTCTGGGACCCGCTCCTCAGGAGCGCCGACGTGCGCAGGAGGCCTTCGAACGGAAGCTGCAGGCAAGCTTACAGGGTTCAGGCTAATAAGCCATTTGCAGGCTGTTACGGTTCAGCGTTCAGTGTTTTGTTTTTTTTTGTGGAGTTCTTTGTAGTGCGGGCGAGAAAAGGAGGGGCAACAAACATCTTGGCTGGTCGGAAGGTGGAGTCCAAGTGTATTCCGCGCATCAGACTTTCTAGTGTTTCAGGTCCGCCTGCATTCTGTGCATAGCAGGAAAAGTTGTATACATGTCTCGCCACGTGAGTAGACGAAGCATGTCCAGGGGATGCAGGTAAATCACCAGGTTCTTTGTTCAAGTTCAGCTCACGCTGAAATTTGAGAGTCGTTTCCGGTGTCTGTGGCATGAAAGCCAGCTCTCTGCTAGGAACAAGTCGAGCGCGACCTTCGCGAACACCGCGAGCGGGAGGCTGTCTGTGCTTGGTGGACACAGTAATCAAGCACTAGTCTGCAGATCTTTTGGCACTGTATCCGATCCTGGTACTTGTCGTAAGAGTAGCAGGCGGAGTTGCCTCCACAGCAGCTATAGACCACTGTTCTCGTCAACCATGCGAGCATGATCTAATCGGGCATTTTCCATCTGGGCTTCAGGACATCCTGAATAGATAGAAATGCGGTGAGACTCCTAACCAGAACGGGGGGGGAGAGGTCATACAGTGAACGCCAGAAAGTAGAAACATGGACTGAGGATTGTTAGTGCTACGATTCCCTATACTTCAACCAAAGGCATAGGAATTATGATGATCCAACTTTCGGGTTTCTACCTTGGGTAGAGATGTCGAAACCACCTCCAGCCACAGGCTCGAGAAGCCGCCGAACAGTCTGCAAGAGAGGACGAGGCAGCACCAGTGTTTGCAGATGAGGTCGGTCTCTCATGGGCTAGCCTCGCGAGGTCCGGCAAGCACTGGCAGAGCGCTGTCAGCGGCGCCGAGAGCAACAGCTGCAGGCAGAAAAAGCAGAAGAGAGAAGAGGAGAAGAGAAGAATTGTTCTTTCCTGGCTGGGGTTTTGTAGTCTTGATGCCTACTGTGGCGCATGCTACCAAGACTTCAGCTTGGTTCCCAAGCCTTCATCGCCTATCTGAGGAGGAGGAGCGGTCCAGACAGCTGGAGGCAGGGGATTGCGGACCTTCAATAGCAGCAGGAATCGTTCCTGTTAATCGGCCACAACCATCACCGGCACTGCAACTACCACTAGCACTACTGACTGACTCACGAGCTAACAGGAAACAGTTCCATAGCCAGAAATTTCCAAGTTGTCGCATCTCTTCTGGGTGGAGCTTGGAGCCGATCAGCCAGTCAAGGTCGGAGATGCTCCTATAAACTGACTTTATCAAGCGGCCACTATGGCAAAGTTTGGTCCGATGTTCCTGACAACCGCGAAACAGGTCCCTGTACCCTGCAAAGCCTGGAGCTGCTTCTCCCTCAGCACTAATGGAGCAGACGAGTATGGGAATGATAAAAAGAAAAGATGGCATCCAAAGTTCTGGTGCAAGTTTAGTGATCACCTGTGCCCGGGTGGCCCTGGACCCCCAATCTCCACCGACAGGAGCAGCGGCAAGGCGTGGCGCAGGCCCGATGGCAGGGTGGCCCGGAGCGTTTGGGGTCTCTCAGAACTAACTGTCACACACAGTTGTGTCGCGTCGGGATGTTCGCGGCATCCCGTGCTTGACGTGCTGTGGCGTGTCTTTAGCATTCCCTGAAGGGCATTCGTACTCAGCGAAGCTTAAAGCGGGTGCAAGTCATGCCGTGACTACCGTTCTACGAACACCATTGCGATGTGGCTGTTGCAGCTGCTACTGAGAACAAATATTTCTGCCAACTCCACCACCACTGCAACACTACGACTTCCACTCCTCCTGTTCTTGCTGCGGTGCTGTGGCTCCCGTTCGCCGAGGCAACAGTTCGAGGAGGAGCTGGAGCGCCACTGGGCCGAGCAAGAGGCCGAGGAGCTCAGAGCTGCACGAAAACGAATGGAGTCAAGTACCAGGTGCAGGTTCCGTCGTGATAGTTCGCCCTTAACTATAGCAAGAGCCAGTCGACCCATCGTATGCACTTCCAGCACGATTTATCGACGTTTACACCGGTGTGTGCACACCAACAACAAGCTGATCCTTCAGCAGCTCCCATTGCTTCGAAGTGCAGAGCTTGGCTACGGGAGAACCACGAGTCGCTGTTGCCGTCGTCCTACGCTACTGCTACTCCTACTGCTGCTGTTGCTGCTGCTGCTGCTGCTGCTCCTACTACTACTGCTGCTACTACTACTACTACTACTACTGCTGCTACTTACTACTACTACTACTACTACGACGACGACTACGATTACGACGATTACTACGACTACTACGACTAGCCACCCCCCCTACCAACTACTTGGCGCCTAAACCCATCATCATCATCATCATCGCTGGTATTGACTACAACATCAC